TAATAAGTAGCATAAAACTAGCCCGATAGATTTTCGGCAGTCTGTTGGTTGTAGCTATAATTATATATCGGGTTGGAGATGTTTGTATATATATTACGCCTTGCCGGGGCTTGCGATGGCCGGTTGAGAGCCGTATGGGAAGTAGGACGTGGGCACTGAATGTGTCCCCAGCCGGCGTTGTAATAACCGTCGATGGTTAAGTAGTTAGATTATATACGCTGGAAGAGGAGATCGGATCGGAGGTCCGGGTAGCGTAACTGGCAACGCATCTGCACGGTAAGCAGGAGTTGTGGGTTCGAGTCCCGCTCCGGGCCGATTTTTTCTCCCAGCGGTTCCAAATTATTTAAATTAATTAATATATTTATAATTATTAATTTTAATAAGAGATGGCGCCTAACGCTTACCTCTAGTGCCAAATTAATTACGTAATTTATTTAGAATTTAGCATTAAAATAGCCCGATTGATTTACGGCATTCGGTTGGTGTCTTACTATATTGGATATCGGGTTTGGAGATGTTTATTTATAAAAGTTGTAATTATTTTTGACACTTTGTCTATAATTTTTCCCATGTCAAGATCAACATAACTATAAAATTTTATTGATCTATCTCTAACAGCTTTGTCTACAGAGTAATGTAAAGTTTTAAACAGACTTTAATTACAGACACACTGTATATTTGCTATACTCATAACATACCTTTTCTACTTGATGGCTACTGTTATTTTGAAACTGTTTATGCAATTTTTGTTTCAATGCTAATCTCAGTTCTGATTTATTTTTGTAATCCTGAAATTAAATATAATGGTAATTAAATTTAATTTCTTGTACAAGATAAACAAGAATTAAATCATCAAAATTTTTCATACCTGTTCATATTCTGTTCTATTTTGAATATCAGTCTCTCCAGAATCACCAACTGTTTGAACGGATGACAAAATTTCTGTGGCTTCTAGTTTAATTTAAATTGAAATAAAAGTATAAAAAAGTTTAATATACAAATAATATATTTCATAATTTATTACTTAATAGAAGTAATATTACTTTTGGCAGGCTGATCACTTGCAAACCAACTGGACTGAACAGTAGATTCAAATGTATGAGCAGTATTATCATCAGAAATTTCTTCTATTTCATGTTTCTGTTCTGTTTTGGATTCTTCTTCTCCTTCTTCATNAAGCATGGTTCCAGATTATTAAAAGAGACTAAACTGTTTATGGAAATTTTTGTATAACAATTTAAAATTAATATTGATTAAATATATTAATGTGTCCAAATAATCAATGACAAAACATGTATAGAAATGCAGGAAGCTCATGGAATCACTTGAATATTTCTAATTATATATTTTAAATAAAAATTAAGTTTTTAATGTTAAAATTTTTAGAAAAAGTTTATATATGTTACCAGCAAAGTAGGAAATAAATACAAATATATGCTTTGCCTAGGCATTCAATTGAATGCTGTACAAACAGTAGATCTGTACAGATTTCAATATTCTCTACTTATTTCAATTCTAAAGTTTGTATATTATATAATAAAAACTTATTATATTTTTTAATTTGTGATTTTATTCTGTGCTTAGTTAAAAATTGTTTATTTATTTTCTGAAAGTCTGCTTACAAATGAGAAAAAATATAATGCTAAGTTGATGATAATTTAAATACTGTTCAATTTAAAATTTATTTTTTGCATTTTTGAGTCTTGAAAATAAGCATGTATAAATTGAAATGATTTAAAATTATATATTATGTGAAACTATATGTTAATCTTTGAATATTTTGAATTATAAAGCTCAATGAGTTTTGAATAACGGCAATTAAAATTAATGCAATCTTTCATAACTACAGTAGAGCATCGATTATCCGACTCAATTGGGGACTCGGGTTGGTCGGATAACTGAAAAAATCGGATAACCGAAAATAATGAAAATATACATTATTAGTATAGTATATTAGTATATCGCTATTAATTAGTTAAATGTAATTAGTATATTAGTATATCATTAACCTACTTTGCGTTGAATTTTCATCAATGTTAAGCCTAACAAATTTTTTTTAAAATAATAATCGTCNAAAAAACGTCAGACTATAGAGGGACAACTGTATATTAATTATAAAATTATAATGAAATAAATTAAAAAATAAACTTTTTAAATGCTAATTGAAAACTGTAATATTATTGTTGACATATGAAAAGCCTGTGTCAAAAATCAGACTTTACAGGAACAACAAAAGGCAATTAAATTAATATTGCATATAATAGTGTACGATTTTCTTGTGTGAAGGTTCATTATAAGTTGTAATAATGAATCACTTAGATTTACTACTGACTAAACTCAACAACTGGAAAAGATAGATTTAGTTGCTTATGATGTTTCTTCAGCAATGAGGACAGCACAATTATATTTATATAAGCTTATCACAAGTAACAGTACAGCCAATTCTATTAATTGAATGTTTGAAAAATATGCATATCTAAAGACCTGCACAACTATGACATAAAACTTATTTGACCTGTAGAGGTGTTTACAAAGTTCTTATCTATTAACAATAATATAAATGAGCAATTATTTATTGTGACATCATCACAATGCTGGACTGCAATTTTTTAGATCTCAGTGCACACAATGCTTTTTATTTTAGTAGTGTCCTGACCCTGTACATCATACTTTTCCTGTTAATAAGAGTGTCATGCCAGTCATCTATCTGACTCTGTTCTGGAAAAAAGTTTTGAATTGAACTATGTACAGTACCAAAGCCTGTTACTGATATGAAACTTGGTACCAGTCTGAAACTGGTGTGAAACGTGTACGCCCTCCTAATTTAAGCATATAACGCCTTAATTAGGAGGGCATATACTAACTCGTCCACTCAACAAGTTCTCCACACCGAACTGAGGTGTACTCTTCTCATAGCCACTGACCATGGGTACTCCAAGCTTATCTGTAAATCAATCGACAGATTCCACAACTCCCAATGCACAGTTCAAGTTGACTCCCGCGGCAAAAACTGACCCAAAGATGAAGAAAGGATCCTAGTCACTTACAACCCATATCTCAAATCACTATATACCAAGATAGCCAAGAAGCACTGCATCCAAATCACATACAGGAGATGTCCAACCATATTTGACATCCTTCGTAACGGAAAGGACATTCCCAACCAGTACAGACTCCCTGGAGTGTACAGCATCCCACTTAGGGATCACAGACATGATAGAGACCTCACCTACATCGGCTCCACTAAGCACTCCTTGGGGGTTACAATAAAAGAGCACCTTGCTAACATACAGCACATGAGGACCACCACCGCTCTCACTGTTTACGCCAGTGATCCAGACATACAGCCAGATTTTAACCATGGGAGAGTCATCTTCACCTCACCATGCACAGAACATCTAAGGTGGTTGGAGGCCATTTGTATCTACAGATCTACCCTCACTGACACCTGTATCAACCACAAGGAGGAATTGACTCTATCCATAGTGTGGCAAGTACTAATGGACAACGATCGGTAAACCTTCACATATGCTACCAGTTAGTGTGTGCATACCCAGTAGGACAACAAGAAACACATATTCAAATGAACTTTCAAATTGTCGTGTCCTTATTTAGTTGCATTCTGTCGGAAATTCACCGTTTTACCTGAAGAACCGTTTCTGGTTTGAAAACGTTTGTGAAGTACTGTTTTTTCATTCGTTTTTTATTTGAGTTTCATATCAGTAACAGGCTTTGGTACATAGATGACTTCACCTTGGTGTTGTTTAGTGTAAATTTTTGAATTGAAATGAGCAATTATTTATTGTGACATTATCAGACTGCAACTGTTGATCATATTTTAAATTTATTTAAATTAAAATATATGCTTTCCACCTCAAATTAGTACTGTAGTGACTTGCCCCTGTACATCATACTTTTCCATTAGCAATGGAATCATGTCAGTCATCTATCTAACTCTTTGCAGGGAAAAATTTTTGAATTGAAGTAATGTGACTTCCGGTTTTCATCAGAAGTTCTTATATAGTTAATAAGGGCCTCCTGTCTCTAAGCTTTTCATATCTAGTCCTAAATTTCATTAACTAACACCATTCTCAAGATTAAGGAAAGACAGATGGACAGAGAGATGAAAGCAGTGGGAATTTATAGGTCTACATTTTTCAAATTGCAGTCCAATAACATGACTGCCAAACCAAACCAGTAAGTTTATATATAGTTAATCAGGGCCTCCAGCTCCTATGCCTTTCATTTCTAGTCTTGACTTTCATCTATCTAACTCTGTTCTCAGATTAAGGAAGGACAGATAGACAGACACCAGTGGGAATTTATAAGTCTGCAATTATAAAATTGCAGCCCAAAAACACATTTCATATATTCATTAAAAACAAATTTAAATCTATTATTCAATTACTTTTGTGATAAAACTCAAATCTATTATTCAATTATTTTTGTGGTAAAACTCAAATCTATTATTCAATTACTTTTGTGGTATAAATCAAATAATTACTATTTATAAATCATAATTAAATAAATGTAATGACTCATGACAAATATAAACTATTATGACAATCAACATACAAAAACTGGTATTAACTACAACTAATATACTCTGATACCCAAAAACTAGCAAATAAACTCCAATACTTTTCTCAAACAAACATTTTCTTCTGTTTTCAAATGATCATCATCAGGTTACAATTTTTGAATACTGAACGGAACCAGTCATTTAAAAATTGCAACTTAAGTTTAAAAGCAAATAACATTCAAATCTTTCTAGCAGAAACTAACATGAGCATTACAGTGTTCAGAATATGGGAATAAACATAAATAATCTATACATTTACAAAAGTTTTTTACACATCTGGTGTAAAGAGGGTTATGCCAATCCAAGCCATAGCAAAAGAATCTGTCTCCTTGTAGTTGATCATTGTACATTTCTTGACAGCCTTGTAAATTTCTAAACACACTAAATACTTCAAACAAGCTGTCAAAGCCTAAAGCTGAGATTCCCAACATTTTGTTTCTTTTGTTGGACAATGTTTCTTCTTATTTGCAAAATATATTTTATGAAATTATTTTTTCATAAAATATATCTAATACCCAGTAATACCACAAAAGACTGAATAATATAACAAATATACTAAGTCATTATAATTAAAGTAACACTATTCAACTATGTCTAGAGCAGTGATTTCCCAATGAGGTCAGTATCAATCCTATCAATGAGCAAATTACATATTGTTCATACATATACAATATATTTTAATATGTTTAATTATTTTGTAAATACAGTAGATCCCCCTATAAGACGGTAGATACGTTCCGTTCTTTATGAATCAATTTTGTAGGAATCATAGTTTACAGACTACGGCTGTTTGAAAGGTTTTCTTTCATAAAATTAATCGATTCTAGACTAATTCGACTCAACATTTCCAAAATACGTATATTTTTTTGAAAATAATCTGTATAAACTACGTTATAAACAAAAAATTGTAGGATTGCTTACCGAGTGTGTACCGTTCGACTACGCCCGTTGCTAAAGCTTGGTTTCGTCGCGGAACAGCGCATCAAACCGCGGCCGCGATTTCTGATATTATTTTTCTGCGAAAACTTCGTTGACCTTTGGAGACATCCTTAATATAAATAATTTTTATGGCCGTTAAATAAGAAATGTTTCTTTCACAAGAAATGTATAAAATTACAGTACTGGACAGACGATAGGTCGCCTAACTCGCCGTAGCGTGACGCTAGACGGCGAAAAATATATATTTAATTATAATAAAGTTACAATAAATTAAGTTAATATATAATTATATATACAGTACCTAATTTATATATAATTAATATATAATTATATGTACAGTACCTAATTTATATATAATTTATATAATACTGTCCAGACGATAGAAATCTCTCCGTAGCGTGGCGCTACGGACGGCGGGTAAGTAGTTCGGCTGCCCGATGACGTTTTACGTATTATAGGAGTTATTTTTACCGTTGTTTACGGATAATGCCACAATTTTTATAGGAATCATAACTATAGGAAACGCTTTTATAGGGGGATCTACTGTAATATCATTTAAAAATTCTTGAAAATATTTTCATTATCATTTTCTAAACTTTCTGAGTATAAAAAATTGTAATAAAAATATATATACTGTATTTACAAGGGAGTCAAGAGAAAA